TTCTTGAAATTTGATTTTAGTGGCGATTCAGAAGCGAGAAATTTGGTCTTGAGAACTGCAGTATACTGGTTGTTTGCAGCTTGTGTGCTCTTCCTTGAAAACTTGTCCATCTGCCACGGTAGCCAATTTTCAGTAGCTCGTTCCTCTCGGCCAGCAAACGAGAATTAATTGTGGAACTCGAAAGCAGTTCCTTTGTTCTTGACCTCCACAACTCGAACTCTAAGCTTCTTGTACAATTTGGAACTCAGTTTTAACACAGTAATAAAAGCACTTTATGAAAAACGTTAGTTAAAGGAGAAAAAAACATGCAGGAAATACTATAACGTCTATTTTCAACCGCAGCCTACCGCGATCTCTCCCTATAAACAAGCTCCCTGAGCTGTCAAAACAGTGTTGATGACGTGATCATGCAATGATCAATACATAAATTTGTACACAACAGGTCTAGAAATAGCTCAAAACGTCATGCAAAATCAAAACAAAGATTCCATGGTGCAGTGATCCCAAATGACAACCGTGCAGTTACCCCAAATGACTACTGAAGTCGATTTGGTTCTAGCTAGATTTCCATCTGACACGTATGCTTACCCAGATCGTGGTTTCGTTGCCACTGCCGTTCCACTTCTGCTCTGTTTGCAGACCTGGCAAGCTCTTCAAGAATTGGCTCATGATTGCAAGTGCTGCTCGATGCCAATGCAGAACCATTCTGATGCCATGATAAAACTTATATAATTGCTTGGGGTCTTATTTGGTGAGCACATTTATTCCTTTGTAGAGTCGTTTGGAGCTGCTCGAATTATTGTGATGGGCTTCTATATTGACGATAAAGTGCCAAGTAGTGACTTCAATGATTTCCATTAATTTGATCGACGTTTAGCATGATGTAAACAGTTTTCGGTGCTTTTTTTTTCCTTTATTTAACGTCGGTCTCTGTTCCGCAATCCAGTGCAAATCACCGACGGACATCGATTGCCATCCATTGACGGCAATCGAGTGTGCAGGAAGGCAGCTTCCACACCTGCGTAGGATATCGCACCCATTCAACACACATGGGCCGGGACCAACGGCTTTACTTCTCTTCCGAAGGAAGACGTGACCAGAGATTTTTATGCCTCAGAAAAATCCCACCGACCTCGGCTGGGATTGAACCCAGACCCATTGGGGTGTTAGAAAGCAGTCACGCTTACCACTACACCACCGGCGCCGGCTGACAGTTTTCGGTGCTGATTAACATTAATGCATCGATTTCTGGCACAAAATTGATCGGATAAAACCAATTTTGTTTAATCAGCATTGTGAACCAGCACATATGTTAACAGACCATAAATGCTAAATCAGCTTTTTTTAAGCTGCTTAAGCAAATGTTTGCCTGTTCAAACTGTTCGGCACCTAAAATTGCGTTGCGTTTCACATTAATCTGACGTTCTAAAGCTTAATTTATCGGCATCAGTCAGTGTTGGCGTTTTACCCAAGAAAAAATCCGAGCTGATCAGTAAGAACAAAGGCTGATCACTGGCTGATTTAAGGTGTGGAAAGCTGATTAACAATAGGCTGATTATAAAGTTTTTTCATAGTGTACACAGTCAATTTTCATACAATTATTCAACCGCAATGAGTGAGTTTAGCTTCAGACTGAAAAAACTTGATTAAGGTTAACATTGCTCCATTAATTAACCTTTTTTCTCAAGTTTGCTTAAAAGCTGATGAATGGTTTATTATTCTTAGTATTCAGCACCCTATCATTGATTGATTAGTAGAATTTTTGACGAGAAGTTTGGTGTGCTTAAAGTTAACAATCATACCTAATGCAATACATACAGTGGTGACCTTTAAATTAGTACAATAGGCCGATTTTCATACAAACTAGCCAACTTTGGCATGTTGCATCTAGTTCTGTTGGTGTATATATTACCCTACTGACGATTTTGTCATTACTCATACCCAGGATTACCTGGTATTTATTTCAAATATAAGGACACTTACGAAAAAATTAGGATTAATCAGGTTGATGCTTAGCTGGGTATTGTGGACTCTCTCAATGTGCTTGTCATTTGCGAGCCAGTGTGAACTGTCAAATAGGTGACAATTATTCAGAAGCAACAAATGAAGTTAATGTTCTTATCTATCGTCAAGCATTGTAATCTCATACAAATGATCCATACTTTTTCATAACACATTCTTAATTTTAAGAACAAAGAGAAATAACCATCAGGGTCAGTGATGAAAGTATAAAAACCAGCATAGCTTTTATGACCTGGCAACCCTGCTCATTCCTTAAATAAGCTTCTGCGGAACATGAATACCACGAATTTGAAGCATGTTCAGGATAAATTTAGTGTGATCATCATATAACATATCCAATCTAAGTATAGTTAACATGAATCTAGGTATATATGGAAACTTCCTGACTAAGACAAAAATTGAGGTTTCGAGCAAAACAACTGAATCTTGAACCGTATGAACTAGATACCAAATATCAAATCGTGTCGGCAACAAGTTATATTTTGTATGAACCAAGACCATAAGACCACTCCGGACAACCATGACGAGTGCTGTTTAAGAAACAACATGACCATATTAGCCGGAGATATCGAATCTCAGTAATGATTGCAGACACACGCAATCTCCAGCTGCTAATTTTAAACGAACAGAGCAAAATTTCTCCTCGTTCCCATTTGGAAAACCCGACGAAGCTAGCAAAAAAAAAAATAGAAAATCCGATAAAAATTATTTAATCGCATCACAAAACACTCGTGCGGAAAATGATACACCATCTCGAAAATGAAAAAAAAAGAGCACACTCGAAAAAGCTAAAGAAAGGTGAAACGCAAGCCATAACAAGTAGCACACCTTCTCGGCCAGGTCGGTACACGGTTGGTCAGTTTGCTCACAATTAGCACGCGAGCCTTCCCAGCGCAATTAAAGCAACGAGCAGACCTCATCGAGGAAGAAGCCACAAACTTGCAACGAAGCAGGCGGTATGGTCTAATTATTTTTTGCGCTTTTGACCAAACTTCTCGCTCACTCACTCACTCACCGCGCTCCGCAGTAATAATCGCCATTACCTGCAAGTGTGATTAAAAGATGCTTACTTGGATCAACAGGTCCAAGGTCCAAGTTGCCCGGTTGCGCAAGATATAGCTCTTACATGAAGTGAGTGAGTCATACGACCGCAAGTTGCGCTAGAAATCTTGTACCTACCATGTAGAAATGGTCAGTGACCAACTTGCTTCTTCGCTGCTTCGTGGTGCAGGGAGAGATCAGAGGTAGAGTTAAGACGTTGAGGGTTTGTGTCGTAATGACGCCGTCGGTTGATGACTAGCAGTTTGGCTCACCACGTGGCGGTTGCGGTTTATGACCGAAAATGAGGAGTAATTAAACCGAAGGGAATTGCAACACCCTAGATGATGACCGTGGTAAAACAAAACTAAAGGTTCATTACTGCCAACTCGACGCTTTCTCGAGTGTGGTAAGTTTGACAAAAATCGTTGAGCGCGACGGCTGAACACCATCAAGCTTACGAATCAACCTTGATAGGTAGATGTTTAGCAAATTTTCTGACGAAACAGCAAACAACATCCAAATTGGATTGGGCGAAACGACTTTCGGTATGCAAAGTTCAATGTTAGCATCCAATGAATATTTAGTCAACTAACTGGTTGAATGCAAAGCAAACAAAAAATTTCATTGCCATAATCCATGGCAGCCGATTTCTGCCAAACTTGAACTTGATGAGCCTTGTACCTGATTTTGTTGACAACCGGTTTTTGCTTTGTCATCCACGAAACCATTATCAAAGCTCACAGATGCTTCATCGCCGGGATCTTCCTCCACAAATCGCACAACAATAGCAAGCAAACAGATAGGGTAGCAGTTCCAGTAATGGTGGTGTACTTAGCTATGCCAGAATAATGGTGGGAAACCAGATAAATTTGTGTTTCATAGGTAACTCTCCAAAAATAAAGAAGATTTACATACTTGAAACCTGAAATTAGCCCAAACAATGACGGAAAACAATTCATTTTCCTTAAGATTTTGACTCCTTTGCACCTAGTTGCGGTAGTGTTCATGTAATAGTAGAATTCATTAGTAAGCAAGCAACTACCACAACTACTGGCACAGTTCTCGTATTAATTTTCGAAAAATTTATACAATTTAATCACAATGTTATATTTTTCTAGCAACATAGAGATTGAAAGCTATAGGTTGAAGTAAAAAGATTATATGCATATTGTTCATATATTTTTTTAACAAATTGATTGTCTTCATTCCTCCACTGCTGGCTCACCAACCCTACATCAAAACAGCAATCTTTCTTCATTTCCTCGAACGTTCCATCCAAAATCAATCAATGCCCGTACAAAGAAGTAAAAGGAAAAGCCCTTCGGGAAAACAACTTTGCCCCTCCCATTCAACCGATCCCGGGAAAAGTGGCTAAAAATGGCAACATCTCAACAACAAAAGCCCGATAAAGGGCTAGACGACGACGACGACGACGACGACGACGACGTCGTTCTGCCTGAAAAGCGAAAGTGTTTACGGTGTGTACACAGGCCCGGCTCTCCAAGCATCACAGTAACAAAAACAGCCACTTGACTCTCGAGAGAATGGAGGCTGTTGAAATCTCCCCAGCTGTTCGCTTTGAAGATCTGTCTCGCTTGCGGTCTACCCTTTGCTGCAGCAAACAACTTCAACTTCGTTACTAACTTTGATTCAAACTGCAAACCAAGCGCTGGAACTGGTGGGGTACCAGATGTTTCATCATCATCCACCACCATGCTTTTTAATGTTGAGGGTTGAACGATTGCGAAATGTTCCATTGAATTACGTTAGCAGCAAAGAGCGTGGCTGTGCCTGCGGTGCGTTTAGTGGTTGTATATTTTTACCCCTGGCAGGCTGAATGTTGTTTACTAATGAAATCACTACTAAGACTCACACATTTGATTGCATATTCACATCGGAAAGATCTAACGTCATCTGTATGCTTCCAATTTCCATAGATGACTCTCGTCCAGCCATCCGGTGAACTGAGCGCCAAGATCAAGGAGGAGTTGCGCGAGCCAGCAAACCCAGCCGACATTGATCGCGACATTGGAATCATCCGCGAATGGCTCGGCAAGCAGCCCCATCTGCCAAAGGACATGGACGATGCCCGCCTGCGCACCTTCCTGCGCGGTTGCAAGTTCAGCCTGGAGCGCGTCAAGCAGAAGCTGGACATGTACTACACCATGCGCAATGCCGTGCCGGAGTTCTTCACCGAGCGTGATGTCACCCGTCAAGAGATGTCCGAGGTTTTGAATGTGGTGTAAGTTTCACAGCAACCCTTTTACCAACCTCCACAACTAATTTGTTCGATCCTTTCTATCTTCTCTTTCTTAGTCACATGCCGCCACTGCCAGGACTGACCCCAGCCGGTTGCCGTGTGGTGATGCTCCGCGGTACCGACAAGGACATCTCCACCCCGAACGTGATCGAATCAATGAAGCTAACACTGATGATCGGTGACATTCGGCTGGCCGAGGAATCCGTCGGTGTCGCCGGTGATGTCTACATCCTGGACGCCAGCGTTGCCACCCCAACGCACTTTGCCAAATTCACTCCCACACTGGTCAAGAAGTTCCTCATCTGTGTCCAGGAGGCCTACCCAGTTAAACTGAAGGAAGTCCATGTGGTCAACGTTTCGCCGATCGTCGACACCATCGTCAACTTTGTCAAGCCCTTCCTGAAGGAGAAGATCCGCGAGCGTATCCACATCCACAGCAGCATGGAAGATCTGTACAAGTTCGTACCGAAGGCTATGCTGCCATCCGAGTACGGCGGTGACGCCGGATCGATCAAGGACCTGAACGAACAGTGGCGCGTCAAGCTGTCCGAGTACACCGCCTGGTTCAAAGAACAGGAAGAGAGCAAGGCCAACGAATCGCTCAGACCTGGCGCCCCCAAGACCGCCGATGAACTGTTCGGTATGGACGGCACCTTCAGACAGCTGACCATCGATTAAACACCCATCATCATCACCGTCCATTAGTTCATCCACCGAACTTCGCTCATCCCCGTCCAAGAAACCAAAACTCATCCCGAACCCAAAAAAAAAATCAAATTAACCCGCATTAGCAAAAACAAAAATCCAATTAACCAATCTCATCTAACCCTTTCACCCCTTCCACGTTTTCATACAAACCTAGTTAGCCAAATTACTAAAAAATATACAATAGGACGCTCTAAGAGGACGTTTGTAAGGAGAGTTCCAATCCTCAACACTTTCATCGAGTGATTTGTTTTCGATTATTTGAAAAGCTTAGAAAAGAGTCAGATTTCAGGACCCTAGGTCCCCCATGTTTCCATTTCGCAACGGAATAACAAGTCTCGGAAAGTTGCCCTAATCAACAGCTTTCACACGGCATCCATCGAAATGTCACGAGAAAAGGAAATCATTTAGAGCAGTCAGTTTTTGTTGTAACAGTTTTGTTTTATATTTTTTGTACGTATTTGCTATTAAAGACTTTCTTGTTTAAAAGGAAACGATTGATGCTGGTGATTTAGTTAAATTTGAAAGAAATTGGCCCATCTAGTTCTGACCACGCTGAGTGTTTCAAAAAAGCTCGTAGCATTGATTTTTGATATCTTGGATGAAGCTATGCAATGAACTAAAGTATGGAAACTGTGACGAGTCATACAAAATTTTTTAAGGTCCAAATGTGACAAAGGGGGCAGGGGGGTTGAAAATGGGCCAAATTTTCGTGACATAATTAATGGACCCTCCCTAACAGTGATTTAAAATTATTTTAATATGTTAATTTGGTGATTTAAAATTATTTAAAACTTTTTTTTTTCTTGTATTTGTTTTCCGTTGATCTTGTTTTCCGTGCTGAGCACCAATGCTACCGACGCCAAGATGGCAGCTTCCACACCTGGACCCTACCCATCAACTCATGAACCGAGGACCAACGGCTTTACTTCCCTTCCAAAGGATGGCGTGAGTAGAGATGAACCAGCCTAAGGCTGAAAGTCTCGTTAATAAAGGAAAAAAAAAAAAAAAAAAGGATGGCGTGATCAGAGATGTTATGCCTCAGAACATCCCGGCGGCGCCGACTAGGATTGAACCCAGGCCTGCTGGGGTGAGAGGTAATCACGCTTACCGCTACACCACCGGCGCCGCTTTTTATTTAAAACTTTAATTTAATTTAAAACTGATAACTGACCTTTATCCCGTACACGTCGGGATCGATTATCGGTAACTGACCTAGTCACTTCTATCATTGATTTCTCACAAACAACAACTCAATCGTACACATCAGGAATATGAAAAAAAAATGGGGGATTGTCTTCTTTGTCCGAAGATAGTCACACTTTGCGTTATTGAATGGTCGTTTGCTAGAAATCAGCGATGGAAGAGACAACATTCAATTACTGATAATCGAATCCGACCTGTATGTGGCTATTTAAATCCACTGCCGATAAAGCTACACACTTTATATCAGGATGGGCACCTCGAATTTCAAAACAATACTAAGCTCCAATTGATACGAACCAACACATGACGCAAGAAACAATAACAATTTTAAATTAGAATTAAACTCTACGATTAATTATTTAATTCCCACCTCCAACTGCTCCCAATTCTACGGTTCACTCGCAAACCGAACTTCGGAACGTCCCACGCAAACGGACGAGACGATAGTCTCGATACACAAAGCTCTGAGTAAATAAACATCATCTGGTTCAGCGTCCACACCCCGCAACCCAACCTGACCTGATATAGGCATTCTTTCTAAATTTTCCGAGAAAAAAAAAACCTAAAAGTAGACCTTCTTCGAAGAAAGTTATGAAAGTAAGGCAAAAAGTCACCGAAAACCACCAGCTGTGCTGAATTTAAATTGCTTTGCGAACTAAGCTATCACGCAGTCCATCAACTGGGGCAGCCATATTTTCGAGACTGCTCCCTTAATTGACATTAGCCAATAGAAGATTAGGCTCTTTTGCGGGCGCGATTCGAGAGTGATACAACATTTGAGTTCGGGTCCATTCACAAATTACGTATCGCAATAGGGGGAGGGGTAGTGTAGAAAATAGTTACTGCTACTCTTTGTAGAGGGGGAGGGAGGGGGTTCTTGATAGTGTTACGCGTAACAATGCAATTTCAAGAAATTTTGTAAGTGATCCCAGAGGCAAAAAAACTGATAAAGCGTAGGAAAAGGAAAACCCTGAAAATACCGAGGGGGACGACTCTATCTACGATGCAAAAAAGATTGTGTTTTGCTGTTGGTAGCTGACAAATGAAAGAAGATTTTTCGAAGATTGATTGGCTAGTGTAAGATTTGTTGAGCATCTAAACTTGAGAATTAGATGTGTCGCCCCCCTCGGAAAATGCTGGTCAATCTTTGCGGATGTGTGGGAAACATCCTGATTGATGGATTTGATATAAAGGCAAAGTAGGGTTTTAATCTAATTTCCGTCCTACTAAGCACAACCCACGCTTTACCTCTCTTTTCTGAACGGGCTTGAACAAAAAATGGTTATTTCTGCCAAAGATGATTTTAAATTTATTTACCTTTCCATACGTATCGTTGGATTTGATAAAGTGTGTGTGTGTGTGTGTGTCATCCTCTATCCCTCACCCAGCCGGGGGCGTTGGACAAGTAGAACTGCGAATAATTTGATCAAATCTCATGCTCCGTAATGGTGCCCTTTATGTTGTGAAGACTAGTACTTTAAAAAGGATAACTTTTGAGGCAAGACAGGGTGTCCTCAGCAAGTCAAGGGAACAGGATGCACTAAATGTCCACAACAGGTACAGCAAAACATCACATAGACGCCCTTATTCACACTAACTACTCAGGGGGTAGAAGGTCAAGAAGAGCCACCGCCGCCAACTAAAGCTTGAACCGGGTACCTGGGACTCCCACGATATACCAGCGGCAATGGTCAGCAGACGATGCTCTGTGCGTATTTAGTATGTAATATGTTTTATTTGGATACACAAAATGTTTGAAGCCATGCGTCATCTAAACCATAATTTGCATCACCACAAATACACTTGTCAACAATCTTCAACTGGAACGTTCTCACCAAATCACTTCACCCGGGAGCGCATTCCCGATGCTTCCACGCATATTTTTTTTTCCCTCCACTCCAACCACACAACAACCAAATATCACTTTTCTGCACTTTTCTTTTTCAAGTCACTCCGTGCACAAAAGCAATGCACATCTCAAAACCCTGACAATAGAACAGCGCACTTCTCATCGCCGCGTAAATAAACAGAAATTAAAATTTTCACTCGCGATGCCACAAATTTCTGGTCCGGGAGAAACAATCAAACCACGCCAATTTTACAAACATGATGAATCATGTTTTCTTTCTCGATTCTAAAACTTCTCGGAAAGCGAGAAACCTACACTCACACACGTATAACCGTTCGGGAGGCAGAGTGCCAGCGCTAATCCGGCAAATGCAGCCGAAAACTATGAAAGCGAATGCACGCACAAAACAGAGAACGAACTTAACACACGACCGTATCCAAAGGCGTTAGAAACTCGACTACGTATCGTTGGATTTGATAAAGAGTCACAAATTGTTGAGATATTGTTTAACATCTAGTAATGCTTCTTGATTCTCGTGCTACGAGTTTCAATTCCGTATTAACGCATTGAAACGCCATTAGATTTTCATCTTCCTACGGATAAACGCAGAAAAGGGGGATACGCTAGGAACGCTTCTTTGATTTTGAGAACAATGAACGTAAACATTCATACAATGCGCTATAATAGGATTTATGTTGTAGCTAATGAACTAACTCATCGGAACAAACCTATTTTTGATTTGTGCACGGTGAAATCATTGATATTATTGATCTTTTCTGATTGATAGAACGGAGTACGATGGAGTAGCGCTCTACCCTAAGTGAATTCAAAGATTCAGTGCTTTCTGGATTGAAATGGGTACCAACCTGTGCTGCAAAATCTCAAACATACACGGCGATATTAATAAAACAGCTTTCCTCAATAACTCAAACTAAAAATGTTCTTCAAGGATTCTATTAATCAGTTAAGTAGATTTGGGACGAGTAAATGAGACCCAATTATCTCGTGATTCTAGACGAATAATTACCAAAATATTGCTTCACGACATTGTTCGACTGGTAGGAAACGTATTTTTAATCTACTCAAATGATGTGATCCATTATTATTTACAGTTACAGCCCTACAAACAATTTAGCTGCAGACTAGCTTATACAGGCGGAAATTATCTGTAAATGCCAAATTTTTGAGTTTTTGATATTAGCTATTTTTGTAACGAAATATTACAAATTAAACTAAATAAATCAAAGTGAACAAACATCCTTAGTTATGTACGAGATCCTGAACCATGAAGTATTCCCACGCATAGAACATTTGTCAAGCGAATCTTGTTTATACTTCAAAGCGTGGACATCTGACCAGCTAATCGATTCTTCATCGTAGTTCCCATCAGTGGCAAACGACATTGCAGCGACGATCGTAACCCGGCACCTGGAACGTGACGATGAGACCGGACACATTGCGGCGCTAACGACGGTTCCCAGCTGACCTCAGCAATCTAGATTAGGAAGCTAGGTTTCGAGACGGAGCTTCAATCAGTTAGCTAGTGAGTCTCGAAGAGTAATGTAGTAGAAATATGTTTAAGTGAAAGTAGTGAATAAACAAATAGTGCTAAGTGCAAGTAGAAAACCTTTTTTTTTATATTCGGATGACATCCGTTTCAGAAGTCCTTAACTACCTTTTTTCTTAATATTGTTCGACGGCAAAGTCCGAGTGCACTATGGGGCGGCTCCATACAAAGTGGTGGCCAAAAATATTTTATTGGTTTTTCCGCACTTTTTGATGGTATTATAGTAAGTTAAGCATAAAATTAGTCATATTTATGTATTTTCATCGCATCCGGAAGGTGTAACTAGTATTAAACCCAGTAATGAGCTACTTATTCCTGAACAATAAACTTGAAAGTTTGTTTTTAATTTTAGGGACAGTTCAAATGCAAATCAAAACTAGAATAAGGTTGCTGTGCATAAGATTAAATAGGAAAGGTGGAGGTGGAAACCCCCCCCCCTCCTAGCCAAGACCTGACCCCTCCCCCATTTTTTTTTATATATGTTATATAAGAGTATTGTTTTACCAATCAGGTATGTTGATGAAGAATTATTTGTCTATCGAACCTCCCCTCTACTGAAAATATTTTTTCCGTCCAAATCTCGCCTTTAGCATCATAAGGGCGTATCTGCATTGATCGATTTTCTCTTTCGTTAATAACTTGGCCAAACCGAAACCGATCGACGCAGTTTTTGGACTGTGGCAAGAGATTACGATCAGTGCTGCGATTTGTCATTTTCATTGAGAAAAATTCAGTGGATATAGACAAAATTCATTTCAGCAGCAACACTGATAGAACTGAAAATCAAAATTTCCTTTGTCAAAATCTCACTCTTTTCTTTGTCAGTGACAAAGATTCCCTTGGTGAAAAAACTGTGAATTTGCGCATTCTGT